GTTACCGCACCAGTGTTCACGTTGCACCTCATCACTTTGCTATTATCTGACTGGCAACATTACCCGGGCTACGCCACCACATAACATAAGTGGAACTGCATGCAAAACAACTTTCTAAAAGTTGACCCCTTTTTTGTGTTGCCTCAGTGATATAACTGGTATAGTTGGCCATTGATCTGTCAAAACAAAATTGTCGTGATGTCGACACTGTGCGTTCATAAGGACCAATGTCGAAAACGTAAACAATGGCTTCTTTCGTATATTTCTTGAAGTTCAAAATCATTCCATGTAAGCCACCAATTCCATCGGATAGGGGGAGTCTCCCTCTACACAGTTTACGTTTAGTTGACTTGAGTGGCTTGTAATGATCGGGAAATTCGCAGAAAAAGTTTACGTTTGCGACATTAGCTCTTATGAAAGAAAATCAGATATATGGTTGCATGCTCAGTAAGCATTGACGTTGACGACGGCCTTGCAACTCTTTACTCCTTGGTAAAATCCCATAAGCATCGGAAAGTATGTGCATGAAATCTAGCGGATTTTGTCTTATCTCTTCACTCCATCATAGAACCAGCGAGCCACCATCTCTTCACACAAAGCTTGATAGTATCTTATGCGATTTTCATAGGAGTGAAAAGGTAAGGAAATGTCCACCAGGTTTCACGCACAGACTGATGATTGCGGATGGGATTTTACCATAAGAGTAAATAGATGTAGAGTGAAGGCGAATTAATCATTTTGTTCGACCATTTTCCACAGAGATGGCGCTGTTCCGCTAGTATGAAGTGCATGTATAGAGGTACCAGACATGTTTTGCACTGCAGTGTCCTCTGTGAACAATTAACAGAAAACAGATTGTGTGTAGTTTCCGATTGATGTCACCACAAACAACATCAGTGACATCTGATGGAACATGAATGCAGAAGCTTGACAAAATGATCAATTGTAAATTGTCAGGGTAATGGACGATGTCAATCATACAAGGTCTGGCCCAACTGACTTATTGGTATTAAACAGTTGAATGTGGATTTGGTGTTCGTATTTCACCTAAGAGTTTATCTTTTTACACGAAACAGCTGTTGCCTGTGATGTCACGTCTGCTGTTCGCAGTATGGAATGTTGTGCTGACGTAACGTCGTAATTCGCTTGCGCAGCAATGTTTAAAACATTTCTGATTCTAACACCAGCAAGCTGCCTGCTGTTACAGACCTTGTATGATTGACATCGGAAAATTCGGCATTTTTTTTCGACCAGCTACAGGGGGCTTATCAAAGGTTTTTTTTAACTAGCATTTTCAAGCCGGTCAGAAGCCAATCAAGAGCGTTTTAAACCAGTAATAATGCATATTTACAGATGCAACATTTCTTAGTCTCTTTGACCTGATTGAATTTCATTCGATTCATTGCGTAAATTGCGATAGTTGAATGTAATTAATCATTTTGTTCGACCATCTTCCACAGAGACGGCGCTGTTCCGCTGGTAGGAAGTGATAAAAATCCCCATATATAAATTGAGAGAAGTGGGAATAATTCGCTTTCGGTGCATATTCAGGTCAAAAAAAGTGAACGACAACCTGAAGAAATTAATCAGGGACTTTGTAGTTCAGTTTTTCCCGGAAATTATTGTTAAACAAGCTACAATTAAATAAAAATTATTTTTCCCCATACAGTTTTACTTGATTTATTATCAGCTCCCAGAGAGCCAAAAAATCAAATTTAGGAGAGAAAATTTACTCTCACGACCTCAAACTCTCAACATGCCATGTATTTTGTTGACACTCGATTTGTGATTTCCCTTTCACAGATTACAAAATAGAGTACCTGACACTACAGAACATGTCTGGTACCTCTATACATGCATTTGCTTTAACATTTGAAGTCCCTCCTTTTTTACATATTCTGCGCAAAAGATACTTTATGCCACGCCCCATACATAAAATTCGGCGGGAAATTCTGTGAGGGGTGAGCTATTTTGTGAATGTGTAGAAAAGGAGGGACTTCGAATAATGATCTAAACGCATATATAGAGGTACCAGACATGTTTTGCACTGCAGTGTCCTCTGTGAACAAGTAACGTAAAACATATTGTGTGTAGTTTCCGACCGCAAACAACAGCAGTGACATCTGATGGAACATGAATGCAGAAGCTTGACAAAATGATAAATTGAATGCAAACAATTCGAAGATTTTATCTTTGCGTTTAATAGGTGCAATTGTACATTTTATATGAATAATATTGTTCATTGTGCTATTAGTAAGTCAACTTATTAGCACAGACAAACAGACATAACACTCGCAAGATGTTCATCGAACAAGCATTTAATGGTCAATTAAAAAGTATCGTAGTTGGTAGTACCGCCACCAGTGGCGCGCATAGTCAATTCCCTTGCGTTTGACGTTTATACACTACCGCCATCTGTTCAGCGTACTACCCACCACAGTGTACTCAACAGATGGCGGTAATGTTTTAGTGACGATGTTTTACAGTGAGAAATATTCAATGTGTTATGTCTGTTTGTCTGTGTTATTAGTGTCATGAAATATTCTGTTGACATTTATAAAAAGTTAAAACATTTCTAAGAAATCTAGAAACATAACTAGGGTATGTGTACCAGTTTTAGGCCCTAGTGGTCGTCGAACAGACCTTATCTTAAATTTCACATTTTAACATTCTTTCTAAACTTGTTTCGATACAAGATAAGAACATATGTTTTGGCTGAAATCTACGCAAATAAAGCCATTAAAATTTATTTCAAATATTTCCCATGGGTCAAAAACTGAACCACTAGTTTCTAAATAGTGCTTATTGTTGCTAGAAAATATAGCCGTTCCTTTTTTTAAATCTTTATTTGATAGATTTTTAGCTGAAGGCTAGTTCATCTCTAATAGCCGTTCCTGTTAACTTTGAGATAGCTAGCTGGGAGCCCCAGGTTGGGACCTTAGCCATAGTGATCGAAAAAAAGTTTGCTAGGAACGCCCTTCCTTTGCCTTTTCGATCAATATTTCCACTTTTTAGTGCAAAATAATTGGAGTAGATCTTTTGGTCAAAACATTTTCAATAGGCCGCAGCTGAGAAGCATATGGAGGATTGAATCCTTGAGTATTACAGGTATCGATAAGCACTCGATTTGATTTAAAAAAAAAGTTTAACGAAAAAAAATTGGACATACATTTTTCTTCTAAGAATGCAAAAAGATTTAAGATTAGAAGAAGAATTGGCGTGGAGTTTCCCCACTTTTTTGCCATAACTACAGAAAAACAATACGTATGGTTTACAATAACATTTCAGGATTAATCGTTGGGTGGCAGGTCATTGCATACAAAATCGGCAAAAAAAATTCATACTTTTTTGATTGCAAACGTTAATATATTTGTTTGCTGTGTGACGCGAGGTGAAGAGCTAGCTATATAGTTATAAATAAAGGACGTAAATAGTTAAGGCAAAACCAAGACATAAGTTCAAAAGTAAACCACGCTATAATTATTTTAATAGAATTAACTACCCCCTTGATCCCCTTTCTCATTTTACAGCTGGTATAATCAATTTGACAGATCGATGTCTTTCTATACCACATCACTGAAATGGGGTCGATTTTTGATTATCGACTCCCACATATGTTATGTGACGCCACCCAGCTGTGTCCATGTTTCAGCTGGTAGTCTTTCGTTATCATAAGACTCGGGGAGGCGTGAAGTAGGAACTTATGATGACCAGGGCTAGGTATTCCGCTCCTTACAGGTTGTCAAATCACCATTTTGTAGCATAGCAAATCAACGATTATTATTTTTCAAGTGCACGATAAACAGAAATGCAGTTGACTATTTTTTGTTCGTTCGTTCCACCCTTAAATAGCATTTTCTTATCCTTGACAGGTACGCGTATTTCGTGTACAATGTGCAGACTTCTTCAGTGTCTTGTACTAATACTCGACTATGGAAATTACTAACCTTCTCTCTCTCTCTTTATCAGATTTATGTTATTGCGGAATTGAGATTTGAACTTGTAAGCCTCTAATGTGATAGTCCTGAATGCTAAAACCTACACCAGATCCGTTCCCTACGCCACGCGATTATGTTGATCAAGGAAATAGATCCATCCTGAAACCCCAAGCACGCTTCTGATCGGCTCGTATGCTTCTCATTCAATAAAGCAGCATTGTAGCACGTTCATTTAGGAATACTTGAGAAAGGTTAAGAACGCACAGAGAACCTTCAGCGTCATATCTACAAACTCACCTGCAAGAAGCAAACACTCACTCTAGAAGCAGCAGCAGCACAAACACAAGCATGCATTCAAAACAAACCGGGAAGGCCAATGAATTCTGAATTAATTCTTACCATTTAAACCAAATCCATTAGGATTAACTATTTGTACGCCGTCTGGTGGTGGGTGCATGGACGAGTTGAAAAGGGACATTGAATGGAAGTATGCAATGATGGTGACAAGGTTGGCATGGCATTATCCGGTGGTGCATCAGTTTTGAACGGGAGTGGTTCAATGGTTGAGTGGGGGTTAGTTGCAGCGTGCAGAAAGCAGGTGAAATCCAGCATGTTAATGCGAATGCGTGGGATGCAAGATGAAAGAATGCGTGTAAGTGAACTGTATGTATGCGAAGTAAAATGCGGATATGTAGGATTTAATTAAACGGTAAGGTTTGGGGAATATCACTTGAGACAAAAATATCGGAACCTTCGTCCCAAGCCGAGTAGTGGCAAGTGGCGTTAAGACAATGCGGTAAATTTGCATAAACATAGTTGGTATTCCGTGCGAAATGGATTGTAACCACTTAGAGGGTGGGGTAAGAGCAAACAAATACTACACTCTGTGGAGCAGGAATGTGCCAAAACCATGACGATATGGAAGGTTGTTTAAATAGCACCGAACGCTTCGAAAGCGTATACAAAAAGCTTTTCGATGTTATCTCCTGGGAGCATTTGTCACGTCTTGCATCAGAATCTCGTTCGTCGCAGTCGTCGTTGCCTTCGGTGGGTGGTGCTTACCTGTACATGGCAGACAGTCCGGAGTGGTTTCAGTGTTGTGGCCAACGCAGGGAGCACCACTGTTCAGTGGCAATGGATTGTTGCATACTCGGGTTCGTTTCTGACCTTGCTTTGGGTGACCGGGACATTTGCAATCCGTCCAGGGACCCCACGAGCTCCAGTCTCCGTCAACTGGAAAGAAATGAGACAACAGATATGCGTTAAGGTCAATCATCTCAGCCATCCATTTATTTAGAAATTCATTAAATGAGCATGATAATCCTTTTGCCTCGGCAAGTCAAATACCATAAACCCTATCCCTAACGGTAACGATGCCGATGAGACCAAAAATGTTCACATTGTCGTAAAACACATGTCATCGGTTAATCCCCCGTCTGGTTGGTTGGCTCGAACTCGCTTCAGTCCCAAAACCCACCCGAACGCGTAGAGATAAAGAGGCACTATTTCCATCGAGCAGAAACTCACAATGAAGAAGACGTCTTAAATTATCTGACAAGATGCTCAGCCGTTTATTCTCAAACGACTCGGGCTTATGGTTGTGCGCGCGTGAGGATTCCAAAATGGTTACAAACTGTAACGACAAAAGAGCAAAGCCATAAAACTTCGCTCCAAAATTATCAATAATGACGGCATTATCTATTTATTGTCTCCGCTACGCCCGCCGCTCGGCTTCTACCCGTCTGTGCTGCCGATATGCGTGTGAGGGTACCTATATTTCCATTTTATGTTAATGCATTTTTGGTTTATGTTCACGGGTATGTACTAATTTGACTCAGTGTGGTGCGTGCCCGGTAAGCTCCGTTCCTCGGGGTTCGGGCGACGCGAAAGGTGAAAAAGCGATACATGAAAATAAATTAACGGATTAAGCGCGTTAAGTGCGAACGTAAGATGCTGATTTATGGTGGAGCTTCGATTGATTTGAGTCGTTCATAGACGTGTATTCAACGGACGACGAACGGGCTGTGGGTAGGTGTTCCGGATTGATTGTAGGCAAAATATATGACCATGACAAGTTTGAACTTGAGCTGATATCAGGCACGCTTAGTATTATGTGACTTTCTCATAATACTAATCGTGCCTGTTATCAACTCTGGTACGTGGCCTCCGAAACCGGTAACTGGCACATCCGAATTATTGCTAGATTTACTCTAGTGCTGGTTCATAATGCTGATTAAACAGAATTGGTCTTCACCGGTCAAGTTGATAACAACTGATAATATCATGCTGATAACTATTTTTTGGAAACGACAGACTCACCAACACTTGTCAATCCTCACAAGTGTAAGCCGGTCAGGGGCTACAAATGGTGAGTTGACAACCTGGCAAGAGCGTTTTATCTAGCTCTGGTCCTCACAAGTTTCTACCTCACACCTCCCCGTGGTGTAGCCTAGGTAATATTGTCCTTCCGACAATAGCAAAGTGAGGGGGTGCGACGCGAACACGGGCTCAACACCATAGCATGGCGATAGAGGAAATGCTTCGTCAGCCCGCAGAAGTGCCAACCGGCATATTGGGATCGACGCCAGTAAGGGTGACACCTTCTTAAAATTGTGAGTTGGCTAATAGTGCAGCTGCCCCCGTCCCGGTAAAACCTTGGTAGGCCTCCGGAAACGTTCAAACTCGTCATCAATTAGTTAATGGATAGTAGACTCAGATGTAACATTCCTGACTTAGGCCAATCTGGTTCTGAAGCCGGCCCCCACGAAGGACCGTGCCAACCCTAGCATGGCCTCCCTGCTTGTATAGATAACCAAGACGCTAGACAGTGAAAACGTAGGAGCGAACGTGTTCGCAAGGAGCGGGATATTGCAGAGAACACCAGTGTTGAACCTGGTGGCTTCAGAGAGTTCCAGCAGCAGCAGTAAGCCCCAATATGAGTAGCAAGAACACCAATGAGAGTGCTAAGCCAGATGTTCACACCGAAATCCAGCAGTAGCACACCCCAAGAAGGGCTGCAGCTTGGAAAGACCAAAATGATGGAGATCAGGTGGAGGATCAATGAACTCCATAACTTTGTACAGGATAATAGCCACGTCCACAAGACAATAAAGGAAATGGTTACGGTCATCAAATCCGCCATGATTGCTGCCGAACTTGAAAAGGATGCGCTGAGGACGAGAGCCGAGACTGCCAATAGGGCACTGATCGAGGTCAAGGAGAAAGCAGCAGCTGGAGCACAGGAAACACCGAAGGAACTCGAAATCCACGCTCGGAAAAGGGGAAAATGGAAACGACAGGAACGACAAGGAACCCAAGTAACCAAAAGTTCTGGTAACAGGCTATTTGTGCCTTGAGCAACTTGGTTGAAGGTGGTCTATAGAATTCTAAGCAGGCACATTTTTAAGTCGTTTTAAGAACTTGAAAGTTCCGGTACCATAATTCAAGAGCATTCTAAGCAGCTTCTGGTGGAACTTGAACGGAACTTTTAGAAAATAAGTTAAAAAAGGTTTTTGTCCTCTACACCAATTTTATATTTAGTTCACACTTTTATAAAACTTTATTCAGGGCTTTATGCAACTTATTTCTTAAGGAAGGTATGCACGTGTATTAATTTATCAGCATTAGCAGTAGTATTGGAGCTGTTCGAAGAATTAAACCCAGTCCTTCTGCGTGAGAGCTTCAGCACGAACCAATACGTCATCTGAGATTTGTTAAAGTGAGCTGTTGCCCGTATGATATTCCAACACGCTTGCAGTGGTAAGCGTTCGTAGAAATTGCTCTTTATTTTTACGTACATTAATTTTTGTTCCTAAAACAGACTCGTGCGGATTGCTTCATGTGACCTATAACGGACTTTTTTAGATTCTTTCAAGTTGTTAAGAAGTTCCGCAGCGAACTTTAAAGATACTTTAAAGTTGCCAAGAAGTTCCACTGGGAACTTGTTCGGAACTTTTTTGTGGCCATGTTTTCAGCCTTGCCTGAAGTTCCTAAGAAGTGTTAAGGGATGCTTTTTGGAACTTTTTTTGAACTTCAAGTTGCTGGGAGTACGCATCGGAACTTTTTGGAGCATGAAAATTCTCGTGTGCATTCTATAACTTCTTAAGTAACCAGAAAGTTGTGTTGGAACTTGATATGCAGCCACTTGAAAGTGGGTTTTATCGTTGAGTGTGGAACTTTTAGTTGCTTATGAAGAAATTACTGTCGGACCTTTATTTTAACTTTATGGAACTTGAATGTTCTGTCAGAACTTTATTTGAACTTTATGGGACTTAAAAGTTCAACTCCGTAGCACTTATGAGGGTGTCGCTAAGTCGGTGGCCTCTCGTTAAGTAAGTACTACATCAACATTTCCTTCCCTATCCCTAGTTATGGTAAAGATGGGCGTGGCCGGGAATAGTGACAGTCATGCTTCTGTTACTCTTGTTTAGATTGGAACCAATGTTTACTCCTCAGCATTATTCCTGAAAGTAGTCTAACTGAGAATTTCAGAAGAGACGTGAGTGTCGCTAGTATCCAATCTACGAAGTACATCATAACAACTCTAACGCTTAACAGTTCTGTCGGAACTTTAATTGAACTTAATGGAACTTGAAAGTTCTGATAGAACTTTATGGAACTTGAAAGTTCTGTTGGAACTTTATTTGAACTTTATGGAACTTAAAAGTTCTGACAGAGCTTTACTCGAACTTAATGGAAATTGAAGGTTCTGTCGGAACTTTATTTGAACTTTATGGAACTTCGAATTGAAATTGTTCGTTGAATGCGGAACTTTTGGTTACTTGGAAAGACAACAAGGAGGAAATATGGCGTACCGTCGAGAAGCCGAAGGAGGAGTGAAAAAAAAACGGAAGGAAAAAGAAGTGAAGAAAAAAGACGAACAGAAGAAGGAGAAATCCAGGCCTCGTCGGAAGCGAAGTAAGCCCAAGTAACCAAAAGTTCTGATAAAAGGCTATTTGTGGCTTAAGCAGCTTGGTTGGTGGTGGTCTATAGAATTCTAAGCAGCCTCATTTTAAAGTCGTTATAAGAACTTGAAAGTTCCGATATCATAATTGAATAGTATTCTAAGCAGCTTCTGGTGGAATTTGAACGGAACTTTTAGAAAATATATTAAAAAAAGGTTTTTGTCCTCTACATCAAATTCTATGTTTAAGTTCGCACTTATATGAAAGTTATTTCTGAAGGCAGGTATTAATGTGTATTGATTTATCAGCATTATTAGTAGAATTAGAGCTGTTTGAAAAATTAAACCCAGTCCTTCTGCGTAAGAGCCCCAGCACGAACCACTGCGTCATCTGAGATATAATAAAGTGAGCTGTTGTCCCGCCTACTGTTGGAGTTTTCAGTGCCAGCTGACTGACTTGAATACGAAACACAACACCTTGATGAATTTTAAATTGGTGTTTGTCCGCATAGTATTCCAACGCATTTGAGGCGCAGTGGTTAGCGTTCGTAAATCGCATGCCGAATACACGGGTTCGAATCCAGGAAATTACTATTTATTTATTTTTTCATGTTTGGATAGAATGTTGATGCACTGCATAAATATAAAAATCATGATTTATTCGGGCCACTGGTCATTTCATATTTACGTACATTAAATTTTGTTAGTTAATTAATGTTTGTTTTGTAAAGACTTGTGCGGATTGCTTCATGTGGCTTGAAAGTTCTGTCGGAACTTTATTTGAATTTTATGGAACTTGAAAGTTCTGTCGGAACTTTATTTGAACTTTATGGAACTTGAAAGTTTTGTCGGAACTTTATTTGAACTTTGACAGGTCCATTGAAAGTTCTGTTGGAACTTTATATGAACTTTACGGAACTTAGAAGTGATTTAATCGTTGAATGCGGAACTTTTGGTTACTTGGGAGGGCGAGCTCTGATCGTCGAAGAAAAAGACAAAACGCCGTACGCAGCACTCCTCGGGAAGTTTCAAGCTAATCTAGAGTGGAAGGAACTTCAGCTAAAAAAACAGGCGCACCCAGAAAGACGAGAAGCTTTTTGAGCTGAAGCGGGATCCTTCGATCAAGAGCTCAGCCTTCAAGGAGCTTGTCAAAAAGTCTCTTGGCGAAGAGGAGAGCGTAAGAGCTCTATCCCAGGAGACAGTGGTCGAGTGCAGAGATCTGGACGAGATCACTACAGAAGAGGAGCTGAGAAGTGCGTTGAGAGTGCACTGTGATATGGGAGATGTTACGATGTCAATGCGGATGAGGAAGGCGTACGGCGGCATGCAA